CCAATTGATGTATCTGATGCAATATTATTTTGTGATTTACTTTGGTCTGGTCTAGATAAGGATACATCAGAATACGAAGAAACTGACTACAGTCTATCGTTCACATTTTATACGAAGGTTGTTACACGATTTTTAACATATTGCACATGAACGTTTCAAATAGCAATGATATTAATATATTTAATCTGTCAGATGAAATGTTACGTACCATTTTCAATAAACTGAATATGGTCGATATGCTCTATTCATCGGTAGATGTAAATCAACTGACTGTTAATCCACTTTCTATAGAATTTATTCTTGATAGTGTTCGTTATCTGCAACTATATTCATTAGATTTGATCAATTATTAACCAGACATACTCGTAGAACATTTAAAAGGATATGAACATAAATTTGAATTATGTTCATCAATCATCGATATTATCATTTACATTTAAGATGACAACTTATTTCGTCTTCTTAAACAAATTAAACATCTTACCAGGGGCGTACTCAGGGTGGGGGGGCCCGGGCACCCCCTTAGCCAAAAAACACTTGGAGGAGGGTACGGGTAAAAGATTTTTTCGGGAAACAAAAATTATTTTTTCTGCTAGTGTCTATCCCCATAATGAGTCGGGCACCTCCCTCAGAAAATTCCTGGGTACGCTCCTGCATCTTACTGTGGATATTTATTTTAATCGAGCAGAAATATCTGATGGAAATGAATGATTTATATTTGAATTCATACTATTTTTCGGTGGGAATTTAACTGATTTGTCTTGAAACACCCGATTCACAAGTGATGTAACTTGAAATCTCACTAAATTGATAATAATTGTCAATATTTTTGATAATTGTCTTTATCTTCTTCATATATGCTTTCAATCTTTATCTGTCATCATTGAATATATTAACAAATTGGTCTTTGAAATCTACTGGTTATATTGATTTTTCTAGAAAAAAACTTGTCAAATTGAAATGTTTCTCATTAACAATGGATTAGTATGCATAATGTTAAGTCTGGAAGAATTATTGCTACATCTTTATGTAATAACAACTCAATCAACTTATATCGATGGTAATCAATTATACCGTGCAGTTCTCAACTATATTCTACGATTATACAAATTTATCTTCAATATGCATACTCACATTATTAACAATCGTATTGAAAATGATGTTCCATCAAAAGATGATATTCAGAATAGTTTTATTAAAAGAGAGTTTCAATCAATTGATATACGTGTCGATAATAAACTCATGAATAGTAGAAACAACTGCCATGTTTATTCTCATCCATATCAATTCAGCAATTTTTTGCTTACGAGTAGCTGGTTTCAAGATGATAAATTCGAATGTTATTATTGTTTGATAGACGTCTATTTGAATATAAATTATTCAAAATCATCTCTCATGACTTTTTGTTTTCTTTTGAGATTAATCAGATTTAAGTTTGAATCACAAAATAAAATGAGCAACACTATTCGTCTACATTCATTACATTTAATCATCTTTTCAAACTTAATATTATGAATGTGCATAGTAACTATATTATATAGTTTCTTTCTGATAGAAACACTCGTTTACCTCGTTTAACGTTTTATCAAATATATTGACTTATTCTGGTAGCAGCAAATCTTATGTATTAAACCACCAATGTGAAAATTCCCAAATATCTATCTATCAAGGCAAATTCTAAGTAGATTTTTTAGTCACCTCTGCTTTCACATGGAAAAACAGTTTATACACTTATATATAAAAACTTGGTTGTTATGAGGTTTAACTGCTACAAAAATTCGTGATGAATTAACTACTGCTTATGAATAAAATATTATTTCATATCCTACAACTGCTCATTGGATGAATTGATTTTCAAGTAAGCAAAAGTCGTTGAAATATGATTCTCGAAGCGATTGTTCATTAACCGCTATTATTCAACAAAATGTTGCTCGTATTAAAGATCTAATGAATGATGAATGACATATTAGTATTGATTATATTACTAACATCTTAGATATAGTTATCACATAAACTATCGTGATGAATACTCAAAGATATTCATCAAAAATTTTCATAAGAAAAAAAAAACATGATTAACTACAAATAACATAAATTTGCATTATAAAAATTCCAAATCACATATGCAAGATATTCTTCTCAATCTTAATTATCTTGAAGAAAAAATAAATCTAACCCTTGATTCATCCAACATGCACGCTTGGTTTTTCTCTGTCAGACTTTTTGTCGTTTAGTTATCTGAAACATAGCTTTTACATATATATCGACATGTTACAAGTTTAGGTAAAACAATAAGCAGAGAGCTCATTTCAATACCTATTCATGAATACTAAAAGACATCATAGGGATCACTTCGAACATTTGCTGTAAGTATTAAAAACAATCAAATATCTGCACTCTGGTTCAATCAAAATGAGCTAAATTTTTTTTCATTCGAATACGGTTAACAAATATTGTATTTAAGTATAATCATTCACTTGTTGTGAAGTAAGAAAAATTCATTAGGATCGATCAATACATAATTTTAAGTTCTAATCACCCATGATAACAATTACACATACAAACAAATTTTATCAATATGTGACACTAATGCACATAGAGAAAATTTTTAGAACTAAATAGTTGATTTAAAAGTCAACGGTTACGATCTTTTGAATATTTGTGTACTCGACAAATAAATTGATTAATTCTAAAAATTTTCTCTATCCACATTAGTGTCATATCATTGATAAAAACTGGTTTGTATGTGTGATTAGAACTTAAAATTATGTATAGATCAATCCTAATGAATTTTTCTTACTTCACAACAAATCAATGATTATACTTAAATATAGTATTTGTTAACCATATTCAAATGAAAAAAAAATTAGCTCATTCTGATTGAGTCAGAGTGAAGATATTCGATAGAATTATAACTATAAAACTAAAAAGGAATAGGATTAAAATAATTGATTATGTTCTAGTTTTTGAAGAGTATTGAACATCCAAATGTAATATTATTGAAAAGGAGATTTTAAAGCAAAAATTAAAATTTTTGACGGGCACACTACACGATAAAGAATGATGATAACGAAGACGTTCATTATATAGTTTTTGCAGAAATCAATCTATTGAGCTATTTAGTTGACATAGTAAATATAAGTCTCACTGAAATAATGCTACTGGGATCTTTAATCTTTTCAAACAATTTTCTCTCTATAACAGGAGAATCTGTTAAACAAATTTTTTTGTCTGGTAATATTACTACTTAGGGCATACCAAAAGTACGGGCAGTGACACTTTAATACCGTATAGTAGGCTTAAATAACTTTCTTTCTATATAGTCTGATAGAGAAAAAAAAGCTCTATCCTTCTATGCTATTTGATCGTACTTCAACTAATATCAAAATATTAAATTATCTATAAAATCTATTTTGGCTGGTTATGTGCTGGTTGTACAGGGTTGACAAAAATGTTTTTCCATGAGGTACAACTTCAACGATAAATGATATCAACATTCAATTTTATACCAAATGAAAGTCCGTCAAAAACGAGATTTAGGAGTATAACTCGTCATTCTTAAGATGAGAATGGGCTATAGAATTATAGCCAGATTCAAGTGGTTGGACACTCACGTGAGTGGGTAGCGAATCACAAAAACACAAATTTTTCAGAAATTTTTTTTGTCTATCAGGCTTTGTAGAGCTCTCTTTGCTGATCATTTTGCTAAAAAAAGTCTTTAAATTTGATCAATAAATAATGGTACTAAGGTCAAAATACTCAAAAATATCTTAGCTATATCAACCAGAGGATTTTGAAATTTCCAGTATTTTGACCCTAGCGCCGTTATTTATTGATCACGCTCAAAAGATTTTTTTACCAAAATGATCAGCAAAGAGNGCCATCTATCTATGTCAAACTACCTACTCAATCGCAAAAGCGATACCATGCTCGTCTTCCATTTTATTTTCCTTCATACTCGATTCGAACGCTTCAGTGCATTGTAAAAAGTTTACCATCAAATTCTGCTGAAACATATCGAACATGGATCGAAAAATCCGACTATATTCGATGGATCGATGATCGATATACGAAGAATTCGACTGAATTCAACAAGGCTGTCCTAACGAAATGTGGAATCCTTATTGGATATCTGTATCGACCAAAGGGTGACAAGGTGTTTAATTCAACTGCACAACATAAATTTGCCGTCGATGACTTAGCTTTTAACATGACTCATCAATACTTTTCTCCTTATCTATATTTTATTGGAGGTTTGATTTTCATGTGGTTATTTCTGAAAAGTCTTTACTATTTGATGCGTTATTTAATCCTCAAATTTCGTTGCGATTTCTTGCATAAACGTGGTATATTCTCATGGCCACTGAAACTTCTTTCCGAATGTGCCAACGAACTTTGGTTATTGAACATTGACGCGCCTCTTTTTGAACAATTGATTAGATTTGATGAATACGTAGAAAGAAGTGAACACAAATACTGCAACCGATTAGCTATCATTGAAAACGATGACAATCATTTGTTCGTCGTAATATTCAAGATGAATATCCATGAAAAGCTCGATGTTGATAATAAATCATCACCATTTATCATTTGTCCCATTACGGATATAAACAAAACAACATATTATGGAGGGATTTACTATGGTTCAGATCAATCATTGATTCCGTGGCCAACACTACCGACATATGAACAAAATTATGCTACATGGTTACATGAAACATTGATGGAAATCAGTGAATTTTACAGAAAACAGTAAGTAGATTTAGTTGCATTTTCGTGTTTTTTTTCATCTAATTTCTATTGGAGTATTATATAATTTGAAATAATAAATCATCTGAGATGGATCTTTGCCATTGTAAAATAGGATGACTGTAATGAAGAGTCGTAGCCTATTCAATCTTGTGATTAGCGAATGCAACAAATAAAAATTATCTTTTAGGTATGAGATGCGACTTCAAAGTGAACAGTCTCAAGAATACTCGACTCAGAACAGGAACCATATGACTAATGCGCAGATCAGAAATAGACGACGTGAAAGAAATACAATCTCGCGAGCAAATCATTTGGAACAATTAATACTTGAAGAACAAAACTTTCAATCGTTAAGTTTTGAACGTCGAGATTTGTATGAACTTGTATTCGCTCAAGAACGACCTGCCTCGCCAAAATTCATCGCCATATTTAGAAACGAACAAGAAAATGCAAACAAACGTGTGACCGTCGTTATGGATGCGCAACAAATCAACTGTGTTGTTTGTTTAAAATATTTAAGAACTGGTGAAGATTATGCACAATGGCCATGTTCTAATAATCAACCACATCTGTTTCATTACGAACGTATGTTGAGCTCATTGCGTATACGAAATACATGCCCATTATGTCGACACGAAGTCGAACCGATTCAAGATATGCCGCAACAAAACTTCGTACAAATATTCGAAAGAATTTTTTTCTGAAATGTCTTCACTGAATTGTACCTGTTCATCATTTTTAATGTTCTGTCCCTTTTAGTACTACGTAAATCAAATCTCTTCAGAAATATAAATTCTATTGTGATGTTTTTTTCTTAAATATATCTTTATTGTGCCATATATAAAGTGGTTCAGATTATCAAAAGAAAAGAAAAAAAACTTACATGTTCTAATGAGAGCAACAACATTAAAGTACACATATTACGAGTGACTTATTCTACTCTCATTCACTTCCTTACAATAAACACAAAATGATTCATCTGTTTCTTACTGTTGAATTTGCTGTTCAACGAGAAAATGTGAAAGAACAGAAAAAGAAAAGCGTTGTAAAAAACAAAAAAACTGTCACGTTGTTGGTACAAACATAACCATTTCTCTTTCTTCAGTTGACTTTGCATCAGCATGTTATCACTGATATTTAAATAACATTGAGTATCATTCGAATGAAATTTTATTGATAGGGATTTCGATTTACATCATATTCAGTTTTTTATACATTCTTGAAGATTTTCAGAAAGCGCAGAAAAATGACTGAACTTTCAACTTTTGAAATCTTACCAAATGAAATTCTATTTCAATCGACTTTTTCGTCATGTGAATCTGATAGGTGTTCATCATAAACAATTTCAATATACTATAATTCACATTCGCCGATACAATTAAAGTTCTTTTACAATTAACTAAACTTGATATTTGTTCACTTGCAGATAAAAATTCGAAAGAACTATTGAAAAATGTTCTAGCTACCAATACTGGCCGACTGAGATCCATATCATTCGATCAAGATTCGATTGATCTATTATGATAGTAATCCAGAAATAAGACAAAGATAAAGACCAGTAATAAATTGCTTTTCTGTTATTTTTAATAATTGCTTTATTGATTTTTTTCTTAAATACAATTTAATTTCTTTTATCAATAATCTTAGTTCAATCATCATTGACTCAAAAGAAACTTCATCGACTGGAAAATTCTGTTGTACAATGAACTTGTTCATTTATTTGTTACGCTTTAAAAAAATAATTTATAAGATTCATCTTGACTATTGTGTATCGATTGTATATTATAAAATGATTATTTAACACATCTCAAAACCCTGTTACTTTGTGATGGTCCGTTCCAGTTTAACTCAATTTAGAATGGCACTAAAAGAAGGCGTAGTTCTTTTAAAATAAAGATTTCTACCTGATGGAAATCCAAAAATTTCTCCAATCACTTATTAGAGTATTCTTTAAACGAGTCCACAAGATTAACGGTCACAAGTATTGATTGTGCAAAAAACATCAGCTTCATTCAGGATCTTCATCATCGAATACTTCAAATAATAGGATATTGCTGTAAATATAAGATTCCGATAATTCACGAGAAAACAAATTCAGAGTCGAAGTTTAAAAAGTGTGACTCGGCATATTTCTAATAATGTCTTCAACAATTGATTATATAGATATATATTCAAGCTTTTCTGAATGGTAACTATTAATACAAAGGATTCAAATCGAGGTTTTATTATAAAAATTGTTTCCAATAAGTACTGCTGATAAACAAAATCTCTACAAGATTGCAAATATTCCAGAATCTACAAAATACAAAATATAGTTTTTTAGGACACAGAACTAGAATAATGTTTCTGTTGATTATACACAGCAACGAAGTAACTAGTTTTCTACCAAATGAAATTCATCTGAGCTGTCTATATTGTCTTTTAAATAAAATCTATTAATATTAAAAAAACATTCGAAGAGTTTTTTTCACCATTTCCAAATGGAAAACTGCTACAAGGATTGTTAAATTTTTTTTAAAAATTGATGTGATTTGGTCAAAGATATGTCATTTCGTCGAGAATTAATTGCTCTACTGAACTGTATAATCGAAGAGAAGCTTTTATTTTCACGTTCCGTATCTTTAAAAATAAATCTCGAATTCTCTCTAATTTCTGGGTTAAAATACATTGTACAGAGTTTATTTTCCGAAAATTCCTGTTACAAAAAATCTTTTCTATTCAAATTACTTTTTGTATTCTTCATACAAGTCAAGATATGACAGTCAAAAAAATAAAAGTTTGAAGTTTTTCGAAGTCAGAGTTAAAAAAGCTGTTAGCGCAATCCCTTGTGGAATTAAAAATGTGAAGCACGATGGATCTATTGTTACTAGTTAAATGAAAATTGTTTTGTTCTATTTCTTTGCGATATATTTCTATCTAACGGTTTATCTAATGCTTTAGAACTACAGTTTCTCTATCACGGTCTGTGATGGAGAATTACCTGTCTGTAACGGTCCGTGAGGGGAGAATCATCTATGTGTAACGATCTGTGATATTAGAATCACCTATCTGTAACAATCTGTAACGAGGGAATCACCTATCTGCAACGGTCTGTGACGGGAGAATCGACTGTCTGTAACGGTCTGTGAGGGGGAGGGGGTCAAAATCTCTACCCTAAACACTTCAACACTCCTTTCAGGTCGTGTTTCACAAAATCTGACTCCACACGACTCTACTTCTTGTTGCTCATTTATAAAAGCAAAGCAAACATTCTTTGTCTAACTATTATTAATTAACTATTCTATTTGGAATTTAAAATTTTTTTTCGAGGTTATCTTATGATGACTCTATCTATTTTCAGTATATCCCCTCTTCTTTTACACTTCATAACTCAGATAATGAAATGCATTTAATGATGAGCGTACCTTTTGAACCTTGCTCTAGACGAGTGATCTAATTTCATTGGCACACACTAAATATAATGTTAGCATAAAGTAAAAATAAAATTTCATCCTGAATATATAATATACATAAAAAATAGTAAAAAAGAAAGGTTCGAGCGAGGTTTGAACTCGCGACCTTCTGCGTGTAAAGCAGACGTGATAACCGCTACACCATCGAACCGACAGTAATACTGGTATAATACAAAAATGGTGTACTAACCACAGTTTTATCAAAGAAAAAGACTCATAAATACATTTGCTTGAATTGAAGATAATATTCAATTTTACTATAAACTTTAAGAAATGTTTGATAATAACCAACAAAAATAGTACAACGAATGTTCTAAAGGAAAGTGATTTTTCAAAACAAAAAACATTGTCAGTGCCGCATTTTGACCAGCCAACGTGTGAAAACTACAAACTCTGAGTATTATAATACAAGCGTAAGTGGAATGAAGTTCCTCTTGGTATTATTTTGTGGGTGTATGCTTCTTTAACTCATATCCATATCCACATGTACGATTGTTTGTTCAATGCACCTTTGAAAATTTCAAGCGATAGTTTAGTACGTTCTGTTAAAAGTTCGAATTCATAACATTTATTACGAAGTCGCAACTCCTCAAAAATCAATGGTGTTTCTTGTACTGATTTTCGATTTCACACGTCGTGAAACACGTATCGGATTTAATCGTTGAATGTTAATTTACTATGATCAACTAAAAACGTTCTGTAGAGTCGTCTTTTGGCTTTTACATGAGCTGCTTTATCACAATGCCATTCATGGCAAACTGGTACAACATGTTCTTTTTAATCGATCTTCTGAATCATTTTCGAAGTCTTTCGATTTTTGTATAGCCTTTGATAGAAAAAAGTTCTCTATCGGTATAGTGATGTCTTCACCATTGTTACTGTCGAGTTGTTCATGATGGATCCTTCATGCTATCTCACCTGATAAAGTTTCATAGGTTGTTTCTACCTCGTTAAACATTTTGTCTATTCCAACATACACCATTCAGGTCATGTTTATTTGCATGCCATTGCAGCATTTTATTACTGATATGCTTTTTTGACAGAAGAAAAATAAATTACTCAGTTTGACGTCTCCCTAAATACTCTGTATCATATAAAGAGGAAGGAAAATTCAGATGCAGACTAAGAAAGCGTAAAAAAATATAATGTTCATGTCTTATGAAAATATCTGTATTTCTTTAGATATTCATCCAAGCATCAGTCTATTCTTTGCACTTCTTTGCACATGCATGAGTTAAGCAAAGAGTAGTCTGTATGGACGTAAAATACAAGTATGCCACAGGTCTGAGAAGGAAAGTAAAATATTAATTTGTTTTGAACATTTTCTTCGTTCGAATCAAACTTCGACAGCTTTTTGTTTTCTTTGTTTTTGGAATAAGACCCATTACGATCAGCTGATGTTCTGTTGTAGAGCGATTAAAGCAATTATAAGGGAGCCGTGTGCTACATGGGGTTAGTGAGTATAGAATGAGTGAGTCACTTCTCTGGAGACTCACATAACACCCACACCCATGACCTCGATAATCGTTGTTCTATGATTATGTCATATGTTGATGGAAAATTATGATCCCTCATCATTATTTTACCAGTCTCAATCGATTTTACTTCATTAAATCTCACAGAAGATCCATCAGACTGTAAAACTTCACAACATGATCAAGTATACACAAAAGTAAAAAGTCTGTTACAATTAGGTGGGTATGCAGGTCACGTGAGCTTTGATCGAGCTGGGTTAATGACAATTTCTGAATAGTTAATGTTTTCAAGTAACACTAGTTTACAACTACCGAACAACTGAAAAGTATTTATCATATAGGAAAAATGAGCTTCATCGTACATCGTGGTAAAGAATTCACTTGATTACGCTCATAAAATTTCTCGTAAAACTTGTTCATCATTTTTGAAGCATAAAACGACTTTTGAAGTTTTTCAGAAAAACCTTCTAGAAAATTGCATACATTGGAAAAACACAGTACTATTCAAGTCATTTTTAAACTGAGAGTGTAGATCAAATGTACTTGAGTAAATTTGCAGAAGGGTTGCGCAGGGTGTTTCAAAAGTGAAGGACCGTGAAAAGAGACACAGAGACAAATAATACAGTCAAAGTATTTTCTCAATATTATTTATTTACCTTGAAAGTATGTCATACACCCTTTTCATAAAAAAGATATACTCAAATAGAAATTATTTTAAATCTGAAGTGTCCTATTTTCATATATTTGTCCAATGAACTTCGAATATAAGATATTGGTGCATCTACCTGAAAAAAAATTACATTTTCTTGATTTCTATCGTAAGAATGAAGGATGATTTTTCTTCTGTTTTCACCGATGGATAGTTTCCATATTTGCTCTATCTTCTGGAGTTAATTTTATTCAACATATAGGATCGTTAGTAAATCAATTATAGACTAATATTTTTCATCATATCAAAGCAAATGAATATTTAATACACAATAGTAAAATACAACTAGAAGAAAACTTTTCTAGAATAATGATAAAAAGAAAACTAAGCATTTTCAGCTTTCATCAAGTCTATGTTTGTATCATAAACAATAAATTCAGGTTCAACTTTTGATGGTAGAAAAGAAATTCTTTTGTAATACTTGACAACTTGATTATTCATTTGAAATGCTTCGTTTCGCCCAACATCAAATAAACGCATTGTAATTATATAATGAAATTTTTTATGATCAATTTGTTTAAACGCATAAGGTGATAGATATAACTTATATGTAGAATATGATTCGCATCTCTTCTGAAGAAATTTTAAAAAATTTCCATCAAGTTCTTGTTTTAAAACAATTCGGTAATGAAATTCAAAATAACATGTTTTTTCATTCCAAAATAATTGCTTCTCAATATCAGTTTGTGGTACACCTTCATTTGATCCTAATGATTTTATTTGAATACGTAGAATATTAAAATTTTTAAATTGTTCATGAATTTTTCTTTCACAATGTTCTATAATTGATGGATATTCACCATGATAATACGAAAATGCTATTAATTGTTGAAGATTATTCTTTTTTTTATCAGCACATAACTGAATGAATGCAATTTTATATTTCGTATTTTGACATGTTTTTTTCAATTTTTCAATAACTTGTTCAGAATTAGGTTTACAATCAAATGTAATATGTACTTTAAATATACCTTTTATAATATTTGTTGGTACGAGTGCATCTAATTTTGATTTGAACTCAACACTTTTTTTACGAACATACTCAACTACACTAAAAATGAAAAAAAAAAAATTATTTGTTTTCAAGATAAAAATTAGATAATTATTACTTACCGATGCTTATTTGATTCATCTGTTGGATCACCACGTATATCTTTCATCTCATCAAGTATATATGAAACACGTGTAAAATCATGCACTGATCTGGTTTGAATTAATTGTTCACCAATATCTAAGAATCGAATACCATGAAATAAATTCTTAAATATAAAATCCGACAACGGTTGATTTGTTTCGTTTTCAGTTGAACTACATTTTGGATAAAATGCATCCTGAGGTCGATTAAGTAAGTTGAAAGATGATAACATTTCATAAAAAGCCACTTCTTTTATTCGTACTGTATTATAATATTTTTCTAGATAAGTTATTCGAAAGTCGATTTCTTCTTTGATTTTAAATTCATCTGGTAAAAATAGACATTGGACACAGAATAAATAATTTTTTTCTAACGCTAGTTGAAAATTTTCAACTGAATATACACAAACATCATATTTATTGAATAATTTATGTAATTCGAATCCATGAAAATAATCGAAATCACTCTGAAATTTTAGAGGACTTTGACTTGAACGAGTAACAATTATCAGGTCTCGATCGGATTTAGGTGTACATGTACCTTGGGGATATGAGCCATGATTGTAAATATTGGCAACACAATCTTCACTTAAATTGAGTTCCCGTAAAATCAACGAGATTTCGGAATGATTCATCTTAAAGAAAAAAAAACACATCGACACTTATGGATCTGTTACAGGTCTATATCTAGGGAGTTTTCTAAAGCAAGGACTAATTTAACAAAAAATATTTCACGAGATATCTCCTAATTCTGAACTCATGAAACTCAAGAAATTATTGAAATTTAGGTAACAGATCAAGCCTAGCGGTTCAAATGAAACTGATATTAGGACACTTTGCTTAAAGAGAAATTTTCAACTATTGCGGTAGTATCTGACATTGAGAAATTCAGGATACCAAAATTTCATGAGGGGTGATAAATATACGATAAAATNAATTTAACAAAAAATATTTCACGAGATATCTCCTAATTCTGAACTCATGAAACTCAAGAAATTATTGAAATTTAGGTAACAGATCAAGCCTAGCGGTTCAAATGAAACTGATATTAGGACACTTTGCTTAAAGAGAAATTTTCAACTATTGCGGTAGTATCTGACATTGAGAAATTCAGGATACCAAAATTTCATGAGGGGTGATAAATATACGATAAAATCTTTTCTGTTGATTTTTAAATACAGGTTCCGCAATAGGTTTAGAGAGAATCGAAACCGAAATCCATGCTCTATCAGGTGTTTATTGACTTCTAAGAGTTCTCAACTCATGGCATTCGGTCACTATTGATATTATGTGAAAAATATGCTGTCAAAATAACAAGGACAATAAAATAATCCTATTAACTATAGGCGCTAACTCAGTAGTGCTTCGCCTATGTATGATTTTTTAATCTTTTTTCAAAAGTTGGACAAAAGTCAATCGATGGCATACAGAAAGGCGTCATTGATCTATTAGTGATCGGTCGTTTTCGATGCAGAGGAATCAAAAGAAATAATGAATAAAATCAACTTTTGTTTAATCTCTGGCAAAATTTCATGCAATGCACAAAGTACGAGTGATGGCGAAAACAATATCGATACTTCAACTCAGGAAACACAAATAAAAATGGCAGTATCTACGCTCTAGTCAATCGCTTCTTGAACAAAAGAGTAGATTTAACTGAACACTTCGAAGAGTTCTTTCTCTCTATCATTGTCTGAGTTTTGTCAATATTGCAAGTCTTCAAAGATTTCCTGTGTAGCAAATGTTGAAGGTTCTCACTATTGAATGTTTTTTACAAAATGAAAATTAACAAGAACACACTGTTCATATTTCGTAAGCCGAGGATTCATATAAAAAGTATTTTAGTAATGATTTTTCATTCGATAGAAAAAACAAAATTTTTAGGATGAACCTTAAATGGTTTATCTTATAGTAATTTCATTTCTTCTCAAAAACTACATCATACCTTTCCTGCAGTTGCTAATAGATATCTTGCATCTCTTTTGTGAAAATCATTTGAATTTTCTTGTGATGGCTTGAAGACGAGATCACATGTTTCCCAAAATCGATCAACAGGAATAGACATTTTTGAATTAAACATAGTGTAGAAGACCCAGAAGAATTGTTGGTGACAATTATGAACTTCAAATTGTTGACATAGATGAAAGATATGCAATGTCAAATCGAGACAACGATCGAATTCACCTTTTCCAATAAGTTCATTTGTTTGCTCAAATAACAGTGTGAATAGGCTCTCATCTTTTCGAAGTACAAGAATGCGTTCTTGGATAAGTAGTGCTTCGATATACAGACGATCAGCATTATGTTGGATTTGATCGAGTTCATCGATTGACTGACATTCTTTTTGGAAATTGTAAACAGCAATCGATTCAGCAATAATTTTACTTATATTGAGTTGTGTTCGTTTGATGAACGAATGTCGCAATATTTGTATTACCCACTCAGGTTTATATTCTTCCGTACCCTTATGTGAGAGTATGTGTAAAGCAACACCGAGTTCAAGATCATCAAAAGTTGCATGATCATGATTTTGCTCAAGTAAAAAATTAACTACATCTAATTGATTATTCTCAGCCGCTAAAGCTATTGGTGTTTTCTTTGTATGATTTCCCATGTTGGAAGAAGCGCCTGTCATATATAATAGTCGTAACGATTCCAAATGACCTCCGATTGCTGCAACAGCTAATGCTGTGTTTTCATCGACGCATGTTTTTGACTCGAGTTCAACATTTTTCTTAATCAGATATTCAATGATTTGTGTATGACCATGACTGGCAGCTATAATAAGACAATTAGATTTATTTTCATCATTTGTCTTTGTCTCATTGATATCAGCATAATCATTTTCGACCAAGAACTCAACAATGTCTAATCGTCCCCTAATCGTAGCATCAATCAATAATGGATGCAATGGACCATGATTGACGTCGGCCTTACCAAGATTAATCAGAGTACGTGCCACAGAAAAGTGAGCTCGATCAAGCGCACACCATAACGCGGTTACTTTGTCTACTAGATCCCCACTAATGCTGTGCACACGTCCTTCAAGTTCAACCGTTTTTGCTTTATCCGTGGAACGTAAAATTATTTCACCTACTACCATATCATATCCATTTAGAGCGGCTATCATCAATAAACTAAGGCATTCATTGTTTGATAGATATATATGCATTCCAGTGAGTAAATTGCATGCATACCGTCTGTCATGTAAATATTCATTGAGTTCGTTCGACTTACCATGACCAATAAGCTTGAAGAGTTGTAATCTGACAGTTGAAGGATCTTCTTTTACCACTGATGAGTAGCTCCTTGGGTGTGCAATCATTTCAAGCCAAAAAAACAATGATTCGAATGGTGATTTCTACTCGACTTATAACCAACACAAAGAAAGAAAGCTGATGAAATAATGTGATTTCAAGTATTCAACAAATATGTACAGGTTGATGAATCATCCGTTGTCAACTAGAAGGAATAGAATAAAAACACGTCATCTTGTATCATTTTATACGCAATAAACTTGCTTCATTTCTCCAACACGGTATTTCTCGACAATATACAATATTGGGTAACTACAATCGCAAATATATACATTTTTGTACAAAATGAGTTCAAACATGAAATTGAAATTCAAAACTTGTTAATTCAATTTCCTTGGTTACTTACATTTTAAAATTATCCAAATAGGAAATAATCTTAAATTTCAAAGTTTTGTTTTCTGAAATTTTTCAAAATTTACTAATAACAATTTTAGTTTTATTTTTAACTAACTGTGATTTATAGAGTTCGCTAAATATTGGGTTTTACTATTTTTATCTCTTCAGCTGAAATTACGCACAAATTAGTAGTTAAGGCGCAAGAACATTTATATTCAAAAATACAGAGAATGATGTTTGAAAAAAAAAGACGATTTTTGAAATATGGATATTAGTGAGTTTCTTTTCTTTACGGATACAGAATTCCATCCACTACTGTGCACCCACAATAAATATTGGTTATCACTGTAAATTTTACGGTAAAAAATCTCTTTGAAACTTTACTTTAACTTTGATTAAAATTCATCAGCTAGCCACTATCTGTCGAAAATATTTACTTCTCTCTCACAAAACGTATCTTACATTCCAGACGATAATAATAATTTATTTTAAGACTTATAAATTACTTTCAACGCAAGATATTATTTGAATATAATTTTATCGCGAAAACTGATGACATCAACAAATTCTAGGAACTATTCATTAAAATTTTTTAGAAAGATTTATTTTCTATAGGCGCTCTTGTTAATCAAATCTTCAAAAGTCAACAATCAAATTTATAAATTTCTTTTTCCCGTCACTTTAACTTGTATCAAGGGCAAGTGGGCCGATTCAACACAATCATGCATCTTGCGTAACCGATTTCAGATTCGGATTCCCTGACTTCGATTCACTTTCGTCAACATTTCTAGAAATACTCTTTTCTAAGCCGAAAGGTTGAGATCTCCCAATTTTCATTACTCCGTAATCAGTGACCATGTAGCTTAAGTGTCACAGAACTGTAGCTTTCCACGCCTAAGTTCACTGAAGTACCTTCAATTACCGTGAAGCACAATGAAGTACTTTAAAGTACATTAAAGTACGAAAGTAAAGAAGTACGATATTTCCTCCTTGATTTCAATCAATAAAAATAGGTTCAAAAGGGTGCATTAGATTTGTTCATATCTTGCAAGTTTCACATCTAATATAAACAAAATCAGAAAAATAATCTTAGAAAATACATCATTTTCGTGTCTTACAGTCTTCTATTCACAATGTTTTACACATAGTTTTTGCATTCAAATGTTGTTTTTTCATACAGATTTGTAGAATATTGAACGACGCACTTTTTGACAAAACAAAACTAATGTTTCCTTTGAAATACTATCGTTTTTCGAGCTATCAGGTACAACAATTCCTCTATTTCCTAGTTTTTATCTTTGCAATGTATGTAACTATTGAATGAACGATTTAAATTAATATACTTTATGAAATTAAGTCTTGAAATCTAAAGAATATTGATTAGAATAAATTATTGTGTTTGTTTTTTGAAAACTATAATTTTCATAAATAAAATATCAACAGAAGTTTTATTTTAATGCTTGTAATAAATCAATAGATCGAAATAAAGAACGTACAAAAGTATTTGCTCATCTCATTTCAATGTCTGTTCAACTCAAATATCTTCTAGTTGAAAAATTTGAATACCTATTGCATGTCATTGAATATGTAAGCATTTACTCTATTTGAATTTTTCTTCGCAAATTACATCTATATATAGATCTCTTTGTTTTTAAGTTTGTTAAATTCTCACCCAATAGAATGTTGTCAAAAATCTAATCTTAGTACTAGCACATAAACTTTGTCACATATATTTGATTTTGAAAAACAAAATTTCCTGAAAATACAAAAGATTTATTAATTTTGCCAAATCCATTTTCTTCTCGATCAAATCAAAATTATACCAAGAATTTTATAAAAAAATAGTCGTTTGCTGAAATAGTGAAGTCAGAAAAGGAAAATAAACTCTATCATATACTCTTTCTGTCTTCGAAAAATAAAATTCTGCTAAGAGTTTTCAAACATAAGGAGAAATTGAATAGAGTTTTGACGATGCTAATGAAAGATAAACTCTGATAAATACATTATCTTCTTGATCAAAACGAAATTGTTCTTATAATTTTAAAAAAGTACCAACCTTTGACATGAATACTATCCTCACTAGCGAAATATATCTTTAATATCCATTTTCTTCATGAAATATACGCAACATTACGTTCTCTGAATAAGAAGAATTCAATCAAAGCTCTGCTGATATATTCACTTATAAACAGAAGTCTGAAGTACGAAAAAAATCATATCATGTTTAGTATTATCAGATGATGAGTTTTGCTTGATAAACATTTTGCAGTTGTCGTTTTTCTATTATTTAAAATCTATCATTCAATTTTTGACCCAGTTTTATTTTTTTTATATAATTTATGTAATTGTTTTCGTATATTATTTTTGAGGCATTTAATGAATTTAAAAAAAGGATGCATTAATTACTGTTGAATACGTTGAATTTACTATTTTTAGTTGTCATCATAGTTCTAATCAATCAGTTTATATTGCCAAACATCTTGTGCCGTTTCTTAAGATATATATGCCTCATTTACGTACATAACGACTCTGACGACCAGCTGATTGTCCTCGAACAACTAGTAAGTTTATTTTAAATAGAAGAAAATTAGTTACACAATAGTTTGACAGATTTTTGTATGTTGACATCAATGACAAATTCTTTTTTTGAGATTTTGGGAAACAATTGTATTTATATTAATTGAACATGAGTGAATTCATGGGGTTTCTATCGTTTTTATGAAAAAAAAGCTTGTTAGTCCAGCCCCTTTGGGGCTGAAATATGGAACTCACATATGCTCTCTAGCCTCATTCAACTGATACAAAATGCGTAAACTGAAAAATCTCTCTTAGACTATAGTTGTTTTGCAGGAAAATCAATCGCAAGAGTAAGAATCTCTAATTTCGAACGGAATGTTTTTTAAACTTTTTTCTATGGGCGCCCTATTTTTTATTTGCATTGTTGCTATTCGCTCATTATTTTTTTAATTCGTTTTTCTTAATTTATCATTCTTATTATTATAATCATTGAATTGATTAACAAATAAGTGTGTTTTACATACCTATTATATCTACAGCAGACCTTACACACTATCATATGTATTAATGAAGTCACAAATAAAAATATTCATTATTTTTCAAAATTATAACTGAATCAATTTTCCAAAAAAACAACTATAGTCTAAGAGAGATTTTTCAGTTTACGCATTTTGTATCAGTTGAATGAGGCTAGAGAGCATATGTGAGTTCCATATTTCAGCCCCAAAGGGGCTGGACTAACAAGCTTTTTTTTCATAAAAACGATAGAAACCCCATGAATTCACTCATGTTCAATTAATATAAATACAATTGTTTCCCAAAATCTCNCAATATATCTAGAGATCTGAGTTTTGCTCTCCATGATAGGCATGGAAAAAACATCTGCATCTGTGAAAGGGTGGGGGATGGGCAAATTTTCGGATACAAATTTACATTTAGTATTACTTTATAGTAAGTTCCAAAAGAAAACAACTATCGCCGTCATTAGTCCGTCAAGATCTAACACATTGTGATTGATTATAAATGTTTCATAAGACGATGATGATGCAAAAGAGATCTGGATCATTCGCTTCGACTTTGACAACAGTGATTCTCTTTATCGGTGTATTGCTCATAACAATCAAGGAAAGCATCTGTATTTCAAGTCCGGTTACACCATTTACTACTTACAATTATTCCACCTCGTTGGAAGTCAACGTATCTGACCTATGGTGGAACGTAAACGAAACTAGTAAGGAAATTGTTTTTGAACTTCATATGAAAACTACAGGTTGGATTGGACTGGGCATTAGTCCAGGTAAAATTTGATGAATTTGATCTTTTTATTCTCATCTATTTGATGTTATTCAGCTGGTGGCATGCCAGGTGCTGATATCGCTCTTGGATGGGTTGATCAAACGGGTACTGCTTATATACAAGTATGAAAGATTTTATCTACTTTCTTGAACATCAATCTTGATTTTCATTTCAAGGATCGCTATGCTTGCAGTTACTCACGACCTATTATGGACAAAAATGAAGTCAATTGGATTGTTCTTCAAGGTCGTGAGGTTAACGGTTGGACAGCCATCCAATTCAAACGAATGTTTGATACGTGTGATTCAATGGATGTTCCGATTACGGTATGAAATAGTCGTATTGTAGTTAATAAAATGTAGCTACCACAATTTAAAAAAAATATTGTTCATGTCATGATGTTTCATTGCATTCATTGTAACTTTGAACATTTGCAAACTGTTTCGTAATTAACAGAGATCCCTATGCACATCTCTTAGATTCAGTTTCAAACAAAGATAATGTTCCCAGTTTTTTTTTCAAATTGTCTTTTCATAATTTTCTAGTTTGGCACCAACAAACTTATTTTTGCCTATGGACTTGTCGATCCTGATCTTTCACAGCCAAACAATGATATTACTTATCATGAAAATCGGCGAGGTTCACGCACACTACCACTTCGTTCATATAGCAATCCACCGTCGGCATCCGAGTTTGCCGCTTTTGACTCGGTTGAATTCCGCTTGGACAATGTTAGCTCATTCTTACTTTAACCAATTAATACATTTTCATCTGATTGAGTATTTTTTCAGTATGCCGTTCCATCACAAGAGACAACCTACTATTGCAAATTGTTTGCGGCTCCAACTAATTTAATAACCAAAAGACAGGCTATTGCTGTTAGTATTTCTCTCTAAGATGCTATCTGATCGATGTTATCTTTTTCTAGTACGAGATCTTGATCGATCCAGCCAATCTGGATATTGTTCATCATCTCCTGTTATATGAATGTGATTCAACAACCGATTTCCATGATACAATACTTCCCGAAGGATTATGTGATAAAATTGATACTCAAGTGGGCATGTGTATAGCAAATATAGCCCTCGGATGGGCAGTTGGCGGAAATTTTGTATGATATAAAAAAATTATCTATATCACCTATAATCAGAACATTTCTACCAATAGATAGTAGAATATCCGAAGGAGGCTGGTTATCCACTTGGTGCTAATTTTTCCGTAGCATATTACATGATTCAAGTGCACTATAATAATCCACAGGGAATATCAAGTATAGAATCGTGTTTCATTTCTATTAAAGGATTCAATTTTGTGACTAATCTCTTTCTAGATCGAGTTGACAGTTCTGGTGTTCGATTCTTTCTTGGAAATACACTTCGCCAGTATGATATTGGCTACCTTACACTCGGAACCGTTGCAAACCAAATGAGTCTAGCCATTCCGCCGAAAGTCGAACAGTTCAACGTCGACTCATATTGTCCTATGGAAGTGACAGCAGTCTGTATCGTAATCTTTAGTATTTGAATATATCCAGAAATTCGTTGTAGAATATTTTGGAATCTGGTATCACTGTCTTCGGAGCCTTTCCACACGCTCATTTACAAGGTGAGCGAGTAATCGGTGGATGAGATAACCTCACTAGTTTGACTTCTAGGTCGAAGTATTTGGACAAAATTGATTCGAAACGGAACGCCTATTGATTATTTATTCAATGCTCAATCCTTTGATTTCAACTATCAGTTTGAAAATATATTACCAAAACCAATACAACTATATCACGTTTGGTTTACACATGTCTTTTTTGTTTTGTCTAAACTGTTCTCACTATAGGGCGATGCCTTCTACACACGATGCGTGTATGATACAATGAACAAAGATGTTATCACATTAGTAAAGAATAAACACTCTTTAATATCTTTTATAGATCTAGTTTGATCTATTCAGGGCGGCGAATCAACCAGAGAGGAGATGTGTCTTCATATTTTTGCTTATTATCCTCGAATGCCCGATTTGTATGTCTGTCTGAATGCCATCGCTCCTCAAATGTGGAACGCATTGATCAATGATTCATCGTAAGTTCTATCTTACATGACTTTCCAAATAAAAAAGAAATATTTCAGCGTGATTCCTACAACTTTCAACTGTGAACCACAACGGAACCGTTTTGATTATTAAAAACTAGATATAAGTAACCAACTAAGTAGGCCATGAACTTAAGAGACATTATTGATATTTGTCTTGTTGGTGAGGCGGTTTACATGCAATCATCTTGCGACTTATTTCAACAGTAATTATTAGTAGTTCTCTTTGACAAAAGAAAAATCGATAAAGCAAAACCAGTGAATTAGTAGAATTTTTGTTCACTAGAAATAAGCATATTTCTATTTGAGAAATCCAATTGAGAAAAATAAGTGTAGTTTGAAAATCATTTTCTCGATGGTTACGATCACATTTATAGTAGGCATTGTGTCAAATACGAGATATATTTAAATTTTCTTTTGTATCAAAAACATTTGGAGACTCATTTAACAATGATATATTTTCTTTTCATGATCAGATCAATATGATTTGATAATTTTTTTCTCAATGGATCTTTAGAATAACGTTCGATCATTCGAATCTTAAGCAATGGCTTCTCCAACTCAAGTGGACAGATGCATTAGCAATAAAATGGCAAGAATTCTATAATAATGCCTTGCGTGTTGTTGCCTATGGCCGAGCAGCACACATGAAAATTACGGCGGTTGTTCTACCAAGATTTCAAGTTGTAGAACCAGTTATGTGTGCTGGTCAAACAAATTCTAGACTAATGGTAACGGCTTGCAAAACAAATGAGGCTATTCATCAAACAATATCCATTCTTGCTATTACTATTTCCCTTGTATTGAAAATTTTCTTTATATAAATCCGATGATGTCAATATTATACTCATTTAACGTTTGTGTATATGAAGAACATATTTTATCAAAAGCATCAATTACATAATAAAATAATGTTCAAAGTCAAGGATTAATAGTTCATTTTATCAGTATGAATAAGCATTGCAAGTTTTATCTTATGTTTATGTAAAATGTCGTTTTCTACGATTTAATATCAAGATTTTTGACTTCCGAGATGATTCTGATAAAATATAACCATCAAAATGTTTGAATGTGTATGCAGGTACTTTATCCACCATCGAATGACATGATTAGGACGTGGGTGTGTGACGTTCACAAAGAGAAGAATATCATCCACGAACCCCGACACGCTCACTCACATTTACCGATGAGATTAAAATTAATACTTGCTGGGCCAGATGCGACCATCGAGAATGCTTGGCTCTGACCTACGATATAAGTTGTTACCACCAAAACATAAGTAATCTCATGCTGAAGAAAAATTGTAACATTAAATTGTCTATGACCATCGTTGGTATTAATTTCTAGGAGTGAATTCAACAATACGTTGAACTATTTTTAGTTAATATTGATGAGTAGGTCGATTCCGTCCTCGATGGAATTGCTAATCAATAATAAAAAGACAATGGGAATAATTTACTTGGATAAATACGTTAATGTAGTTTCGAATCTCTGCTTACAACTTCGAAGAAAAACTCTTTTTTTCTAGTTCTTCTGGTCATTTTGAGATACAAACAGATTTAGTTGATAGTTGCCAATACAAAAACAAAACTCTTTGAATATATGATCCAATTCTCGATCTGTCTTTCTTTTAGTATCTGTTCAGTCTATTTTACAAACACTCCATGCAGTATATTCACTGATTCAACTTAGATCAACAGTTGTTCGGCCTTTTGCGATGATCGAGAATGCTCTTCGTACATCGGAGGAAGCAGTGGTCACAATAAAAATGTAATTACTTCGAGGTTGAGGATAAACTATGAGTTTAAACTGATCATTGCTACTACTATTATCATCTTTTGCAAATAAATTCAGAGACGAACATGAAAGATTGAATGTGTTGTTGTAGATATAGCCATAGGTACTCATAGCAATGCTACGAACAAGACTATAACTGCCAGCCGTGTCCACTCGCACTTGAACAGCTTTATAGTAGAAGTTTGGAACTGAACAGCCAGTTCAACAATACGTTGAAGTATTGGTTGCCCACACTGACGAGTACGTGAATTTCACAACGGTTTGATTTGCTATATAGCGTAAAAGTGTGGTATGTTTATTTATATATATTGTTCATGGCGTCCAAAACAAAGAGCGAAATTATAAAGTAAATAACTAGAATATTGACTATTAGAGATTGGATTAGATATTATAAGAAACTTGTCTTTCTTGTAACATCAATTTATTTTTCTATTTCATACAAAAGACATGCACAGCAGGCTTCAAATCACTATTACAATGTTGTCTATTGCCTATTGTCGATACTTTCGCTATCAATATCAGAGTCCAAAAGTAATGTCATGATTCCGTTTATGTACTCTCTTCATTTGTTCGACTTTTGTAAAATATGACTCAAAATTAATCTTACAGTTGAGAGCAAGAAAAGTGGACCCACCTTCACTGTTCGTTTCCTCTCCCCCTCTGCAGACGGTGACACGCATGCCGACATCCTATACTATGGGTTTTTGAACAACGGTATTATAAGTAATCGACTCTTGAACTCCTGATTTTTCAAAGGATGTATCGGGTTGTGAATTGATATGAAATATTTTGGCCCAAATATTTTTCTCTTCGTCTGAGCTAGGTATCTTAGCCCCTTATATACTCTGCCACAGACAAGTGAAGATTCTTCTTAATTGAGCTCGTGGTGAATCGTTACAAAAAAAAAGAAGCTTCTTCATGCCCATTTGAAACGTCTCCATCATGCTTCTCATTTTAATCCCATAGGAACTGCGCTGGAAGTTTGTTTGTTTTGAACCTTTTAGAAGCTGTGCTTTCTTGGTGGATCAAAAAGTTGGATTTCCGATTTTGACCATAATGACTATTAGAAATAAAAGATCTGCTTGAGTTATGAATTGAATTAAAATTTCAGTCCAATGAACCAGCCTTGAAGAAAGTTATTAGACATCCTCCTGTATCCCTAAATCTCATGACTTATGAATTAGGGAATATTTTGGAATCTAGTAATTAAATGTTTTAAAATTGCGTAGTGTTCTCATATCTATATCTGTTCACACCCAATATTTTAAATTATATAGAGCCATGGAAAAATAATTTTTTCTTTTCATAAATGACGGTTAAATGTGATCTACTACATCACCGTTATGAAAATTAGTAACAATCATATAAATTTCTATCAACATAGATGTAGACTGTCATTACTATTCTTGTTTTTCTCTGGCTAAAATTGCAATAAGAAGACATCCTTTTTTTATATATTTGATCATATTTTCGTGTACAACTTTTCAATTTTGTCTACTCCATGCCAAAAGATGCCATCTAGCATCTTTTGCAGAAAAGTAAAGATTTAACACTTTTTTATACTAAAACTACAAAAGTATATTGAAACACCAAGAAAGATAAAAAGATACAAAGTACACGGCTTACTTCTTGACGAGAGGTACCAATTTATATCCTTCAGAATGATTTAGATGTGCGGGATGAGTAAAAAATAATTTAATTTAAATTCTTTTTAAATATTTCGTATTAAAATAGTGTTTTATTTTAAATTTAAATGTCAGTAATGTAAATTATAAAACCAATTAAATTAAAAAAATTCAGTTTATTTTTAGGTTTTGGTGACGAAAATTGAAACCTAAAATAAATTTGAGTTACTGTAGAAAAAAATATTTTTT